ATTCACTCACAGTTATCATTTCCTGTGCTCTTCATTCACTTAACACTCAACTTTCTATGCAGTAGCATTTCCTTTCAGCCTGAAATATTTCCTTTTGGTGCAGCCTGCTGGCAATAAGCTCTTAGTTTTTATCTGAAATTTTTATTTTGTCTTCATTCTTGAAAGATATTTATGCTAGATAAGGAATCCTGGGTCGACAGATTTTTTCCCCCACCACTTTAAAAATGCCTTTCCACTGTCTTCTGACCTCTATTGTTTCTAATAAAAAGTCAGGAAATTTTTCTCTTGCTAAAGTAGTGACTATTTCTTGTCTCTTTTTTCCACCTTAAAGTAAAAAAGCTTCCAAAGGAGGGAGAGATGGTGGGAGTAGCCACATATCATATATTTCATTTTTGTTTAAAGTCTGCATTTTAAAACTTGAGGCATGTTGCTAAGTAAGGCTAGTAAGTGAGATGGGTGCCTATATGAACAGCATTTAGAACTCAAATACTGAACAAGGTTCAGGACTTGACCCATTTCTCTGCAAACACCCTTACCCATGCATGCCTCTCCCTCCATCACTCAGGTGGCAGAACCCCAGACCTAATTATGCCCCATTATCTATCTGCTCTGAGCACCTAAGCATGGATAGTGAAAATCCCACTGTGCTGACCAGTCTTGGTTTAAAGAGAGGACTTCAAATCTTAAAGGAGAGGCCAACACTGTCAGTTAATCTTACTACACTTCCCAGTAAATCTCCTTCTCTTTATCAAAACAGCAATTTCATCTCTTCATCTCACTGCATAGTCATTCATTAAGGAAATGCATGTAAGAAGATGAGAACTCCCTCACCTTCCCAGACCTACATGCACTGACCTGCTAATCTGTACCCAGATTTCCCTCTCTTATTATAATGGAAGGAACATCCCTGTTCCTGGTTATGGCCTATTCTTCCAGTTTGTACTGAATTTTTCCATCTTTCGGAACACTTAAAATCTTTGCTAGTGTACTAATCCTCTCATTCTCTCTGCCTGGCTCTGCAATAGATACACTTTAAGGAAAAGAAGGGGATTAAGACAGAACCTACAGATTAAAAGATTTACAAGTCATATCAACTAAGCTTTTTAAAAGAGCAAACAAGACTATAACATCTAAGATAGATGTATGGGTGATAAAACCATCAAGACACCCAAAGCTGTGATTACTGTAAAAGTCAGGGGAGTGGCCACCTTTGCCAGGAAGGAGGTGGTTGGGGCCAGGGCAGAGTCCATGGACTCATGGGCTCCTGGGGTGGTTGCAAGGTTCTTTTCCAGACCTGGATGGTGGATACAAAGATGTTTGCCCTCTAACAATTAAGCCTACATTTAATTTGGTTGACTTTTCTACATCTGTGTTTTATAGTGACTTAGGAAAAAATAATGTTAAAACCTTTAACACAAGGATTGGCAAATTCTTTTCAATGAGCCAGATAGTATGATTAGAGTGTAGTCCTCTACCACACTCTAATCATGCCAGATAGTACATATTTTAGATTTTTCAAGCCAGCAAGCAAAATCGAGGATATTGTGTAATACTTTTATAACCATTTAAAATGTAACCATTTAATAATGCATAAGGATAAACCCAAGCGTTATAAACCGAGAGGGTCCACTAATCCTTGAATTTTCGATCCCAGGAAATTCACATCCTCAAGCTGCCCAATCCAAGCCCCCACGCCCTCTCCGGGTTCCCAAAGGAGCTGTTTCCCATCTCTGCCTCAGGCTGGCACTACTTCCACGTCTCTTAGCAACAGGTGGACAGGCCTGTCACCTACCGTAGGACCCAAGGTAGAGCTGAAGGGAGTGAGCACGCATGCACACAAGGAGCTCTCTGCTCCATTCACACGCTCTGGTAGAAAAGGGACACTGTAGGGGCACATAAGCCCTAGCACCTCGGCATACTCAAAAGTGTGTGTCCTCACTTTTCCCACAAGTCCTCTACCACACTCTAATCATTCCAGGCGTGGTCCAGCAAACTAGGGAAGCAGCAACAGCATCACCTGGGAGCCTGCTAGAAATATAGAATTTCCACCTCAACCCAGACCTACTGAATCTCAGTCTGCATTTTTAACAAAATACCAGGAGATCCCCATCCTTATTAACATTTGACAAGTGTTGCTTTTACAATCCAGATAAGGCCAAGCCATATATAAATACATCAAGCTAGGAATACCTCTAATAGATTGAACTTTTAACCTAGACACTAAAAGACAGCCTTTATGATTTATAAGAGGAAGTTCCCCAAGCTGAGTTCTCTATACTCAGTAAGGGTAAAAATTCCCTTGTGTCTCTTCTAACCTTCAGTCCAGGACAGAATGCATCACTGACCTCAGGTTCCTGCTGTCAAAGCCAATGGGGAAATCAGGAAGGGCAATTTCCATTCCCAGAGTAAGGGTGTGGCTCCTTTGAATCATGTGAAAAGAGAGGGTCCAAAGAATGGGCACCATGGAACCGCAGGATAATTAAGTCAAATGGTAACATAAGGGTAATTCTAGACGCAGGGAAGACAGCACCCAAATCCAGCTCAACAAGCTCCCAGGAAATAGACCCCACTTGCGTTTTAAACTTCAAAATGAAAATCCTACTAAGTCAGTGGGTAAGTACTCCTGCGAGAAGTTCCCAGATCAGTAACTCCCCAGTCTCATAAGTTCTTTCCATCTCCATCTATCTTGGGAAACTGCAGACCCCAAGTTTAACTTGCCTGACTGGCAAATCAGAACAGACACATCCCAGTCCTAGGAGAACCACTCCGCTTCACTGGGTAATATTAAAAAGACTGACTTACCAAAGAACACAACAAAGAAAAGAAAATGATCATGTGTTTAATGGCAAGGATGAAATAGTTAGATGAGGGAAAAACCCTTCTTCAAACAGAAAACTCAAAACCACAGATCTAAAAATCCATGAGACATGCTACAACATGGATAAACTTTGAAAACATTATGCTATGTGAAAGAAGCCAGTCACAAAGGACTATATATTATATGGTTGCATTTATATGAAATGTTCAGAATAGGCAAATCCACAGAGACAGAGAGTAGATTAATGGTTGCCTAGGGTTGGGAGGGATTGGGGGATTAGGTTAATGGATAAGAGATATGAGTTACTTTTGGGGATAATGAAAATGTTCTAAAATTAATTGTGGTGATGGATGACAATTCTATGAATGTACTAAAAGTCACTAAACATACATTTCAAATAGGTGAGTTGTATGGTATATGAATTATATTTCAACAAAGCTGTTTGAGAATAATCCATGGCTCCACACTAGTTCTACATTAATCTTAAACCATGTAGTTCCGCTCTGGCTGGTGTGGCTCAGTGGACTGAGTGCAGGCCTGTGAACCAAAGAGTCGCTGGTTTAATTCCCAGTCAGGGCACATGCCTGGGTTGCAGGCCTGGTCCCTAGTGGGGGGCACACAAGAGGCAACCACACATGATGCTTCTCTCCCTCTCTTTCTCCCTCCCTTCACCTCTCTCTAAAAATAAATAAAATCTTAAAAAAAAAAGCATGTAGTTCCTACTATAATGCAAAACCTGCCAGGGTAAAATCTGGGGGGAAAATAAAACTTGACATCAGTACTAGGTAGAGGCCCCAGCTAGATTTCCCTAGCAAAACACTCCCATCTTAGTTTGGGGAAGAATTTTACAGTCTTGTCTCAAAATCATCAGTCTCATGGAAATCCCCATCTAGCTTTAGGTTCCTGTTTCAAAAACACTGGAAAAACCAAAACAGGCAAAACACACTTTCAAAACACCTTTACATAGACAAGGGAAGAAACAGAGGATCACGGGACAGATCAGAATACAAAGTTAAGAATTCACTATCATTATAGAAACTCGAGTTCAGAAAAGACTACAGATTTCCCAAGGAAGCTGTGTTTCAAAAGTCCCTAAATAACTCACAAAGAATAGTAGCCAAAAGAACCCACCTGATGGCTGAGGCCTTGTAAGTGACCACACTGACCTCAGCTCTTCTGCCCCTATTGGATTTTCATCTTGGCAATTCTCTTCTCAACCTGTTTAATTTCCCAAACCAAAACCAGAGGGTATCGTGAGGAGCTCTGTGAGGACTCTGGGCTGCACCCACAAGGGCCTGGGTGGGCCTCATGGTCACAGCTGTCACTCTGGAAAGTAAAACAGAAGGGGGAGATGGAACACTATCCCTCTTACCCTAAAGCAAAACATACAAAACCCTAGGGGCATTGGGATGCTCAGAGAGAGAGCTATCTCTACAGCTATCAGCCAACAGCTTCGTCCTGCCCTGACAAACAGGATTCTCTCCAATCTCCAGGCAAATAAATTAAAAGACCAAATGTTATTAATTAATTAATAATGGAGCTGATGCTGTTTGGCTGCTGCCTCTCTGCTAGACTCCCGTTCTAAGGAGTCTGCTTCAGTCCCTAAAAACAAAAAAGCGATTTCCAATGTCAAGGACACAGGGAACTGGCAAGTACCTGGAAGAGTGCTGGGAACATAACAGGTATTCAATAAATTCGTTTAATGCCCCTTGACTGAATGCTAATATTACCTCCCTCCACCTCTGGCCTTCTTCCCTCAACCTGGAAGCGCGCACGCGCGCGCGCGCGTGAAGTTGAACCCACGCCTGTTCACTCCAACTCCATTTGTACATAACCTTGCAAAAGTAATAAAATTAACAATTACTGCTACAATACAGGTTTATGGGGGCAGGAATTTTTGTTAATTCTGTTACTAACGTACCTTGAGTGCTTAAAACAATGTATGGCACATAACAGGCTCTCAATGAATATTTGCTTAATGCCGAATGAATTAAGGGCCTACAATGTGCCAGGCCGTTCACACTCCCGCAAAGGTTCCCTTCACAATCATTTCCACAGTGGCAGCACAGGCTGCCTGGAGTCCTCCCACCACGAGGAGCCGCTATAGGAAACGCCCAGCTTCCTTCCCACGTTACCATTTATCCCCCCCCCCCCGGTGCCCTTTGACCCCTCAAATTCCCTGCCCCAAGTTAAGATGGCAGCGTCGGTGGCAGCTGCAGTCGGTGGACTGCGGCGGGCCATTCGAAGGTCGCCCTCATGGCTGGGCCCCAGCCGACGGCCGCTCTCATCCGAGCTCCCTCCAACCCAAGCTACGGCCGTACGTGACGCCTTTCTGAGCTTCTTTCGGGACCGCCATGGCCACCGACTGGTACCATCGGCTTCCGTGCGACCCCGCGGCGATCCCAGTTTACTTTTCGTCAATGCTGGAATGAACCAGGTGGGGGCGGGGTTTGTGATTTTTTTTTTCTTGAGAGAAAGGCGCTACGAGATTGGGCAAAGAAAAAAGGGGCGGAGCAGTAGCTTCTGGGGAAACTGGTCCCTGGTTGGGTTAAGTGATCCGGAGCGCGACTTAGGTTTTGGGGAAGACTCGACCTGGGAACTTCTCGTTTGGAATTGAGTTTTAGGCCCAGGAATGGGGGGTAAACTGGTGTGGAGGCCCATGGAGGTAAACTGGTGGAGGAAGTCTGGCTTCATTTATTCTTTCTTTGAATAAAGATAACTCTTTCATTACGTGATTATGGTATTGAGCACCTGCCAAATGCTAGACTATGTTCTCTAAACCTTTGGCTTTGAGCACGACTTACCCCCATAGACTTGGTTGTCTTCATCTGTAAAATGGGCAGAGGGGCGGGAGAGGGGGAATTGCTTAAGATTAGAGGCTGTCCAAGATCCCTATTAAATACTGACATTGTAGGCATGCCCAGACTCAATTTTGAAGCCTATAGTTATTGGGTGTGGTTGAAGAGGCTGAGATGGAGGACGTAGGCATTCATTGCACTATTCCAAGCCACCAACACATCCCTCCTCCTTTTATCTTGCCTATCTCACCAGCAGAAGACCTCTGCTTCATGATTTATTCTCCCCTTGTTTGCCCCACACCAGCAGAGATGGGTGCCCCTAGACTCCCAGGTTGCCACCCTGGCCAAGACCACACTGCACTCTCACGGACAGTCAGCCTTCAGCCTAAACATAAACAGCTCTCTCTGTCCTCACTCTGCACATTTCTATTCTAATGAGGCACTGGGGTATCCTTTCCCCCTTCTTCACGTGTTGCAGTTCAAGCCTATCTTCCTGGGCACTGTGGATCCACGAAGTGAGATGGCAGGCTTCCGACGTGTGGCCAACAGCCAGAAATGTGTGAGGGCTGGAGGACGCCACAGTGACCTAGAGGATGTGGGCCGAGACCTTTCTCATCATACCTTCTTTGAGATGCTTGGCAATTGGGCATTTGGGGGTGAATATTTTAAGGTGAGTATCTAGAAAGTCCTAGAGTTAGGGAAGGGTCAGCAGTCAACCAAGAAGGGGGTTAAGGTAAGTATTCTCTCCACTCCTAGAGTCTGCTTAGGTAGGACCTCATACCAGACACAGGCAAAGTTCAAGATGAACATATATAATAGGAATGTGTCTCATTTCCCTAATTGGATTGTAAGCTCCTTGATGGCCAGGACTATGCCTCCTGCCTCATGGCTGGTCAATAATTGTTGTGTGAATAAATAGACAGTAATACTCAAATGCAGGATTTAAAAATCATTCTAGGCTAGACAGATTAGAGGATTTCATGGAGAAGGTTGGACTTAAAAGAAAGGAGTGCGGAAGCTTTCTGGGCAGGAAAAAACTCAATAGAAATGATCATGGCTTATTTTAGAAACAAGATGGACAGTGGAAATGGTTTTGCCTTAAGCTGAGGGCTGAACTCATGTGGCTTGATTAACGCTTCAGTGGGGCTTTCTTCTCACCCACCTTCCTCTTCCCACTGCATGTGGGTTTCAACTGCAGGTGGAGGCTTGCAGCATGGCCTGGGAGCTGCTGACTCAGGTCTATCAAATCCCTGAGGACAGGCTATGGGTCTCCTACTTTGGTGGTGACCCCAAGGCAGGGCTGGACCCAGACCTAGAGAGCAGGGACATCTGGCTCAGCTTAGGGTAAGTTCACCCTCCCTAATGTTTATTCCTGAAGGGCAGGAGGGCTGGAAAACAGACACTATCAGCATATCCCAGGAGACCGTGGGGCTAGTCCTGTTCCTCCTTTTGCTGAGCTTGATGGGGAGGCTCTCATAGCAGAGAGAGTCCAGCTTCTGGGTTTGTCTCCCCACGACCTGCCTTGCTTTCTTTCTAGGGTGCCTGCCAGTCATGTGCTTTCCTTCGGACCACAAGAGAACTTCTGGGAGATGGGGGATACTGGCCCTTGTGGGCCCTGTACGGAGATCCACTATGATCTGGCTGCTGGGGTAGGAGCCCCCCAGCTGGTGGAGCTTTGGAATCTGGTCTTCATGCAGTACAACAGGTAATGGGGTGCTGAATCAGGAGGAAAATGTCTGGCTGGAAATTAAAGAGGTAGCAGTCAGGAGACTTTAATCCATTTCTTAATAAAAACAAACAAGCCCTGACTGTTGTGGCTCAGTTGGTTGGGCATCGTCCCGCATAGTGAAAGGTCACCAGTTTGATTCCTAGTCATGGTACATGCCTGGGTTGCACATGCCTGGGTTGCACATGTCTGGGTTGCAGGTTCGGTCCTGGTTGGGGCACATTCAGGAGGCATCCAATTGATATTTCTTTCTCACATCGATGTTTCTCTGCTTTTCTTTCTCCTTCCCTTTCCCCCTCTCTAAAAATAAATAAAATCTTTAAAAAAAATAAACACTTAAATGGTACTTACTATGTGCCAGGCATATTTCTAAACACTTTTCAGATAATAACTGATTTCAGATAATAACTGATTTGATTTAACTGATCCTAGTCTTTGCCCATAACAGTTTAAACTAGTCACCACTGCTCCTTGGCCTCTGCTTTCTTATCAAATGATAGAGTTGAACTTGATGATCTCTTAAGATTTTCTTCCGGCCTTGACATGCCTCTTTCTAAGGGGAAAGAATTCTGTCCCAGAAAGGGGCTCTCTGGTTCCAAGCAAAGGCCCAAGGCAGGTGAGGGGAGATATCACCCTTTATGAGAAAGGACAGGACCCACGGCCATCACTGTCTGTTTGAGAGGAGGTGGGGGTTATACTGCCCTCTGGTTCCTCCCTCTGTCAGCCTCCTTGAACCCTTCCTCATTCCTCTACTCCATTTGAGCATCTGCCTCACACCTGTAATCCTGTGCGGGGCCTCACCTCGCACACCTTCCCTGGCCAGAGAGGCGGATGGAAGTCTGCAACCCCTGCCCCAGCGGCACGTGGACACGGGAATGGGCCTGGAAAGGCTGGTAGCTGTGCTGCAAGGCAGATGCTCCACCTACGACACTGACCTCTTTTCCCCGCTGCTCAACGCTATACACCAGGTGAGCCTGCCTCTTCCCTTCCGGAAGCCTCTCTGGCCTACTCATCACCAGTGCTTTTGGAATCTGGTCTTCATGCGACACAACACGTAATGGGGTGCCGAGGCAGGAGGAAAATCCCTGGCTGAAGGTGAAAAAAGGTAGCAGTCAGGAGAGTGGTGGCAGCTCTACTTCTAGGAGTTGGCTGGCTGTCATTTTGGGGCAGTGGGGGTGACCAGGCCATGTGTCTGTCATCCTCCAGAAGGCTAGCTTGGACTTCTTCACATCCCAGCTCAGCAAGGTTACAAGGAGAGCAGAAACACACAAGGCCTCCTGAGGCCTAAGCTCAGAACAGTGTCATTTCTACCGCATTCTGTTGACCAAAGCAAGTCACAGGCTAGCTGAGATTCAAAACATGCTTTCCTTGATGGAAAACAACTGTAAAGTCACACTGCAAAGTGGCATGTGCACAGAAAAGGGAAGGATTGTGGCCACTTTTGCAAACAATCTACCACAGAGAGGAAGGCTAGAGTCTAGTCTTGTGGGATCTAGAAGTCCCAAGTGGGGCTTTAAATTCTACGTGCAGTGAGTGGGGCTCTGAGTGGAGAGGAGCATGATCTGACTGACACTTTAAAAGGCCGCTCCTTTTGTTGTGTGGAACATGGTCTGGAGGGAGATGAGTAGAAGCCGAGAAACCAACTGGGTGGCTATTTCATAGTCCAGGGAAGAAACAGTAGGGTGTAGTTTAGGCTGGTAGTAGTGGAAGTAGAGAAAAGTAGATTGATTTGAGAGATCCCATGGGGGTAGAAGCAAAGGCTGCACTAGTGGATTGGATGGGGAGGGGAAGGAAAAGACTGGTTCCCAAGTGTCTGACTTGAGCAATGAGCTGAATGGCAGGACTGTTTATTGAGCGGGGGCAGCTTGAGGAAGAGACAGGTCTGGAGCTGCATGAATCTAGCACTCTGCAATGGAGATCACACACGTACACACAGCTTACATGAACCTCCCTGCCCCCATAAAGCCTGCAGAGGCAAGTGTGGGCAGCGAAGAGCACTGGAGTCGGACAAGCCTGGTTCAGATCTCAGATCCGCTCCTGAGTTATGTGTGGCCTTGCGGCACTTAGATCCTCTGAGCTTGTTTCCTCTTACAGTGAGGATAGTAATATCTCCCAGAAGACGATATCGTCCCAGAAGACGATATTTTAGGGGTTAGATGACATGTTGTCCAAACACCCACACAGTTCTATAGTAGAAGTCTAGTGAATGATCACACCTGTGATGATCGGTAGCAGGAATGTGGGTCCTTGAGGGCAGTGTCTGACTCCCATTCATCTCTGAAACTTCTCTAGCCAGGTCATTCCAGATGTGGTCAACTTTAAGGGTGCTGAATACCATCCCACCTAGGCCAGGTCAGGCAGGGCCAGCAGCTGTGTCTTTTTCTCTCCTGCTTTCCAGGGCTGCGGGGCACCCCCTTACTTGGGCCGGGTAGGGGCAGCCGACGAAGGCCGCACAGACATGGCATACCGCGTAGTGGCTGATCACATTCGCACACTCAGTGTCTGCATCGCTGATGGTGTCTCCACTGGAATGTCAGGCGCCCCGTGAGTCTGGAAGGACTACAGAGAGGGGAAGGTGCAGCTGGGGCTTGCAGGGGAGAGGGGGGAACAAATGAGAGGTGTGTTGGGTTGAGGTGGCATGAGGAGCCAGGGAATGGAGAGGGCTTTGGGGTAGGAGCATATATGGGACCTTGCCTCCCCAAGCCCCATGCTGCTGACCAGGGGCTACTGGAGAGTCATATCTGGGTTCTGAACCCCTCTAGGCTGGTTCTTCGTCGCATCCTCCGTCGAGCAGTGCGGTTCTCTACAGAGGTGTTGCGGGCACCACCTGGCTTCCTGGGCAGCCTTGTACCTGTAGTGGTGGAGACACTGGTAAGGGCAGAGCCTCCTCACTCCTCTGGGCCTCCCTGGGCAGTTGGGGCGTCTGCTGCTGAGCCCATGCCATGCCCCCAGCCTGGGCTCGCCACCCTAAATGTCCACCCCAGTCAGCAGGCTGAGAAAGCTGGCACTGCTTACAAAAAGCAGGGAGCCTTCAGGATGCCTCCTTGCCCAGCTGCTGAACCTTTGACCTTGGGACCCCCTCAGCCTGTGTCCCCACCCCACGTGGAAATTGATTTTCCATTTGGGTCCCTCCCCATGTCCATCAGCCCATCTGAGCCTCCAGGACAGCTGTCATCAGGGCAGCTCAGGGGGCAGAGGTAGAGGGCAGAGTGGTTGCCTTTCACACCTCAGCCCTCTCTGCCTCCTCCAGGGAGACGCTTATCCGGAACTACAGAAGAACTCAGCCCAGGTACTGGATTTGGATACGGGAGGGACGGGCTGACAAGAGAGTGGTAGAGAGAGGCTCTCCCTCCAGTCCTGTCCCGCCTCCGGTTCAGATAGCCAACCTGGTGTCGGAGGATGAGGCAGCCTTCCTGGCCTCCCTGCAGCGGGGTCGTCGGATCATTGACCGGACCCTGAGGCGTCTGGGACCTTCTGAAGTCTTCCCTGGTAAGTGGAGTGCCTCGTGGGGCATGAGAGCCTCACTTCAGCAAGCCAGGGCAGGCCAAGGAGGAAGCTCTGGGCCAGGGCTGTGCCTCATATCCACCCCCTCTTCCTCCTACGTCCTTCTTCCTATACTCTTTCCAACACCAGGACCTCTCTGTTGTGGGAACACCACCCTGCTTCTCCCCATTTCCCCACTTCCTCTCTGCCCAGCTGGCCCTGCCTCAGTCTCTGCTTTCCAGGGCTGGCTTTATGCCTAGAATGAGCCTCTCTCCTCCTCTGAAATGATGATTGCCACCTGTCAGCTCTGGCCTTTGAGCACGAAGCCTGAAGATGACCCCTGTCCTGGGCCAATCCAGTGTGGGGAGAGGGCACTTGTGTTTGGCATCTGGTGTGGTTAGAAAAGCCCTGGCCCTTCTCTCTTACACCTCCCCCCACCCACCCTGCTTCTCCCCACTCAAAACCCCTTGTCTTCCTTCCAAAAAGCCGAAGTGGCCTGGTCCTTGTCAATGTCTGGGGACCTGGGGCTCCCCCTGGACCTGGTAGAGCTGATGCTGGAGGAGAAGGGAGTGCAGCTGGACTCGGCTGGGCTGGCACGGCTGGCACAGGAGGAAGCCCAGGTATAAGCTGGGTGCCCCGCCAGGGTTCTGTTGGGACAATCAGCCCACTCCCCAGCCCTGAGTTCCTGGGGGAGGAGCTACAGCTATTGAGGGAAATAGGTCTGAGGTGGGTCCTGTCCTTCACACAGCCCGTAGAGAGGAACATTCATGCAGTGGGCTAAACAGAGGAGCAGAAGGGAAGGGGCCCGTACGGCATCCTAGGACACATCTCCAGGGGCAGAATTGGGTGAGGGAGGCCTGATCCTGAGACCCTTTGCGATGGGTGGCTCACCAGCCAACCCAGATCTCTAGCAGCCAGCCAAGCCCTGGGCACTTACTCCAGAGGGGATGCAGGGTCCACAGGGCAGTGTGTCAGGGACGGGGCTCTGCAGAGGCCTCAGTTCCGTTGCACTCTCCACGCACTCTTTCCATACACACGTGCACACACACATACATACGCCCATCCTGCAGCACCGGGCCCAGCAGGCTGAGGCAGTTGAGGAGCAGAGACTGAGGCTTGACATCCATGCATTGGGGGAGCTGCAGCGCCGAGGTGTGCCTCCAACCGATGACAGCCCCAAGTACAACTACCGCCTTCTCCCCAGCGGGGGTTACGGTGAGAGCCTGGACTGAGGCAGGTGGCCACAAGCTTGCCTGGCTGTGGTTGGAACAGTCAGATGGTTGCCCCATGCATTCCCCAGGGTAGCCACCAGGGGTCTCTGTGGCCCTCAGCTGGACTTGAGGGTGTGCACCGCCCCCCCCCCCCCCACACCCCTCTCACCACCAGGTGCCTTTTGGCTTCAAGTAAAGCATAGACCCACATGTATGTACATCTTTAACCCCTGCCTACCACTGATAGCCATTCTTCGCCCTGGCAGAGTTTGGCCCCTGCGAGGCCCAGGTGCTCCAGCTGTACACAGAAGACGGGAGAGCTGTGGCCTCCGTGGGGGAAGGCCAGCACTGTGGCCTCCTCTTAGACAAGACCAATTTCTACGCTGAACAAGGGGGTCAGGCTTCAGACCGAGGCTACCTGGTGCGGCTGGAGCAGCAGGTGAGTCCCTCTGCATACAGAGGCTAAGTTCTGCAGGAGGCAGACCTGAGCCAGAAAGGTAGCCAAGGGGAGGGAAAGACTACAGGCAGTCACTCCAGCACCTTGGCCCCTGACCTCCCCTAGGATGTGCTGTTCCCTGTGGCCCGGGCCCAGGTCTGTGGAGGCTTCATCCTCCATGAGGCTGTGGCCCCTGAGTGCTTGAAGGTGGGGGACCAGGTGCAGTTGCACGTGGATAAGGTAAGGAAGAATTCCCACCCCTGCTGTTCTTGACACCTCGTAGCCCTTTTACTCTCTCCATGCCCTACTGTCACCCAGGGCGCTTGGTGACACAAGCATTTCAGGCCTGGCGTCTGGGCTGCATGGAGAAGCACACGGCCACTCACCTGCTAAACTGGGCACTGCGGCGATCTCTGGGCCCTGGCACAGAGCAGCGAGGCTCCCATCTGAGTCCCGAGCGGCTGCGCTTTGACGTGGCCACCCAGGTGAGCACAGCACAGAAAGACAGGCTTCAAGTGAGGCAGCAGGCTCAGAGCGAGAGAGTCTGGTGGCGTGTGGAGTCCGGCCAGTCCAAGGGCCTGGTCTCACTGCTACTCAGTCCCGAGGGAACCTGGGTGGGTGTCTTCCCACCAGGAAGGCATTGGCTAGACAGTGCTGGAGCCCTCGCTTCACCTCCAGCCACCCATCTTCCTTGTTCCTGCTGTTACCCGAGCTGAGCCGTTGTTGCTCCAAGGGGGTTGTCCTCTCCCTTCCCTGCCACACCCTTTCCCTCCTCTTCTTGTTCATCTGCTCAGTACTCTCCCCAGGAAGCACTCACTGACTGAGCCCCATTCCACCTGACTACTTGTCCCCGCATCCCCCCTCCGTACTCTCTTCCCTTGGGCTGCCCTGTGGTAAGCCACCCGAGTACAGAGCCTCCATTTTTTATTTTTCTACCGACTTTTAATGCCTGACGAAAGTACTACAGCTTCCAGTAGGCCCACTTCCAGGTAGCTTTGTAAGGAAGAGAATTGTTTGCTCCACAAATATTCGTTGAGCACCTGTTTGTTATATGCTAGCCACTGTTGTAGAACCCTGGGGTAGTTCAGTGAACGGTGACTGCTTTTTTTTTTCTTTTTTTGTATTTTTTCCATTACCAATTATCCCCCTTATACCTTCTTCAGTGACTGCCTCTTTATGCATCATTTGCAGGCATGGGGCTGACTGCCTGTCGGTCTGTCCTTTTCCCTCCCACCCCATCAGGCTCCACTGACCCCAGAGCAGCTCCAGGCAGTGGAGAGTGCTGTGCAGGAGGCTGTGAGGCAGGATGAGGCCGTGTACACAGAGGAGGTAGCCCTGGCACACACCGCACATGTCCCTGGCCTGCGCTGTCTGGATGAGGTGAGTTGAGGGAGCCCCCTTCGTGGAGATCACCTTCCCCCCACAGGCCAGGTAACAGACTTGTGCCCTCTCACCCACAGGTCTACCCAGACCCGGTGCGGGTGGTGTCAGTGGGGGTGCCTGTGGCCCGTGCACTGGACCCAGCCTCTCAAGCTGCACTGCAGACTTCAGTGGAACTGTGCTGTGGGACGTGAGTCTCTCCTTCTGCCTGCCCTGGCCTGGGGCTGAACCCTCACCCTGCCTTGGTCTTTGGAGCCACCAGCACCTGGTATGGAGCTCAAGCTGCTCTTTCCCCTCCCATAACCCCCCGGACTTCCTACTCTCTCCCTGTGCCCACAGGCACCTGCTGCGCACGGGGGCTGTAGGGGACCTGGTCATCATCGGGGAGCGCCAACTCGCCAAGGGCACCACCCGCCTGCTGGCCGTCACTGGGGAGCAGGCCCAGCAGGTTGGCATGCCAGCAGGGCCCGGGAGGCTCTGAGTGGATGAGGGGCATGGGACGCACACAGCTGATACTCGGCTGTATGCTGAGTATCTCAGGCTGGGGGACGCCCGGCTGCAGAATCAGTGTTTCTACACGTGCACTGCAGGCAGCTGGCATTGTTGTGATTATTTGGTGCCTTCATGGGTCCTGATTGTTAATTATATCTAATTTGGCCCTGAGCAGCAATGGGTAAGAGCCTTGAAATAAGCCGAGCAGCCCTGACCATCCCGTTCCTTCCCTGCAGGCACGAGAAGTGGGCCAGAGCCTGGCCCAGGAGGTAGAAGCAGCCACAGAGCGGCTGAGTCGGGGCAGCCGGGATGTGGTGGAGGCTCAGCGGCTGTCCAAGGACATGGGACGACTCACTGATGTGAGGGCTGTGTACACACACACACACCCTTGTCCTTATACTGTGCCCTTCCCCATGCCTCCCTGGACCCTTCCAGTCTCTCCCAGCTTTCCTGTTGGGCTCCAGCTGGCCTAGACGTTTTGTTGTTTGTCTGCAGGGTGGGATGTGGTAGGTGTGGTCTCTTCTCTGGTCCTGCTGGACCCTGCCTCAGGGACTGTGGCTCAGGGAGGGGTGAGGATGATATACTGCTTTTGGCCGTAGGCTGTGGACACTGCTGTGATGCCCCAGTGGCAGCGGCGGGAGCTGCAGGCCGCACTGAAGGTGCTGCAACGGCGTGCCAACACTGCTGTCCGGAAGCTGGAAATGAGGCAGGTAGGAGGGGGTGGCCGCACCCAGGGGGGCAGATCCCAGGCACACCAGACAAGGGTCAGAGACGCTCTAGAGTGAGCACAGAGAAGCCTCAAGGCCTAGTGTGTGTGTGTTGGGGGGGTGGTATCAGCTCCCTCTCCTGCCAGCTGGGCACCGTCACCAGGCCCCCCCTTCTCTCTGCCAAACCACATCTCCCCAGCACCCAAGTTTGGTTCAGACTCTCCCTCCAGGAAGCTAACTGATCATTCCATTCAGTCCTAATTACTCCTTGACTTCATTCTCCTTCCTCCTGCCCCCTCTCCTCCATCTGTACTCCAGCCTTAGTCCTTCCACCTTCACTGACCTATTTGCCAGGGCCTGGAGCTAAGATGAAAGGGAGGAGGTGAGGGAGGGGAGGAAGGACCAGGTGGGACTCAAAAAAAAGGCCATTCTAGGTAGAGCCCCTGGCCCTTCTGCTCAAAGCTAAAGACTTTTGCTGGGGGAGGGGATTTCTGGACTGGGGTTCAGTTCAGAAGTGAGGGCCAGTTTTCTTCCATCTTGACCCCTGTGCTGTCCTTCCTGCCCCACAGGCTGCACAGAAAACGCAGGAGCTGCTGCAGCGGCACTCAGAGGGGCCCCTGATTGTGGACACAGTTTCCACTGAGTCCCTCTCAGTGAGTATCGGGGTTGGGGGTGGCCCCAGGGTCTGGGGAGGGGGAAGTCCGGATGGGAGGTACCTGGGAGTCTAGGGGCTCTGGGGCTACCATCTGCCCTCCCTTGCCCAGGTGCTGGTAAAGGTGGTCCGGCAGCTGTGTGAGCAAGTGCCCAGCACATCCGTGCTACTACTCAGCCCCCAGCCCCTGGGGCATGTGCTGTGTGCCTGTCAGGTGGCCCAGGTGAGAGAAGTGGGAGAGCAGCCCCCACAGCACCCATCTCCTAGTCCAGCCCTCTAATTCCACTCCCTGTATTCCTCCCAGACGAAGGAGCCAAGACTGGGTGGAGGTGATCTCTGAGGACACCCAGGACATATATAGGGTCATCTCCTTGCCCCTAACCACCACACAACCCCACCAGAGTATACCATGAGATCCCCTAATTACCAGCCTCCCCCTGCAGGCTGCACATCCCTTGCAAACAAGTAGCAGACATTCATCACCCTCTTTACGCATTCCCAGCCCAACCCTCACCTGTCTTCCCCCAACTCGCCCCACAATGTGCCTGGCTGGGCAGGGCATGCCAGTCACCATGACTCCACCCTTGAGGGTACTTTGAGTGGATGGTGGCAGGGAGGGGCAGCTCTGCATTGCTGTCCCTTCTCTTTCTATTCCCAGAGTCCCACACCAGCTTTCACAGCAGAGGCCTGGGCGCTGGCCGTGTGCAGCCACATGGGGGGCAAGGCCTGGGGCTCTCGAGTGGTTGCCCAGGGCACCGGAAACACTGCTGACCTGGAAGCTGCCCTCAGTACAGCCCGAGCCTATGCCCTCAATCAGCTCTGACCCAGGGACTCACATAGACTGAAGAGACAGGCCAGTGACAGATACAGGTCAGTTGCTGACTATGGCGAAAACCAATCAAACAAAACTTCCTGAAGGAACCAGCAGAACCCCCCTGGAGAATGAAGGGGAGGACTAGAGGCGGGAGGCCAAGCAGCTGAGCTGAAGAGAGCCAGCCTGGGTTGGGTCCTGCCTGGACACCAGAAGATGTGGGCCGGCCAAGCCAGAAGTGGGGCCAGAGACACCCGCACTAAGTGAATGTGAAAACATGGGCTGTCCTAGCTGAGACTGTTCGTTAAAAAGTATTCCCCCACCCTGCCTGGTGTGGCTCAGTGGATTGAGTGCCAGCCTGTAAACCAAAGGGTCATGGGTTCGATTCCCAATCAGGGCTCATTCCTGGGTTCCAGGCCGGGTCCCCATTTAGGGGCATGTGAGAAGCAACCACACATTGATGCTTCTCTCCCTCTCTTTCCCCTGCCTTCCCCCTCTCTAAAAATAAATAAAGTATTTTAAAAATAAAAAGTATTTCCCAGAGGAGGAAGTTCTGAAGGTTCTTTTGCTTAAAAAGATCAGGCTTTCCCCTCCCAGCAGCCTGGTATGGGTGCTCCATCACCGGTCTGACTCCTCACCCTGGGCTGAAAGGCCACCTAAGCATCCACAGCAGAACCATCCTCACAGCCACAAATGCTCTGTCAGGCTCTCTCTGCCAGCCTGCTCTGGGCACCCACAAAGGCCTCCCTGGGCCCCAAGGTTCAGAACTGTCGTGTGAAAGTCATTATAGCAGGGCAGATCCTCTGGTGTCACTTAGTTGTCTAACAGTGACTTGTCTTATTGAAGGCTCTGGTGATTGGTTGATAAAATGAGCAACAGGTACTTGTCAGTTGCTGGGAAGGTGGTGAGAACCAGACAGAACTTCCCGTCCTTGTGGAGCTTCTAGTGGGAAGGAGGCAATAAAGAGAAAGAAGGTGTCAGCTGGAGATGAGGTCTGTGAAGAAAAAGCAGACAGGACGGGGACAGTGGGGTGGTGGTATTTCTTCCCTGAGAGGCGGCCTCTGCGGGGAGAGCTGTCCAGGCTGAGGGAACAGCCAGTGCAGAGGCGCTGAGGGGGAGGAGGGCAGGCACAGTGAGCTGGGAGAGTGGCAGGTGATGGGGTCAAAGAGCAGGAACCAGAGCAACGCTGTTCTTTAAAAACAAGCTGCACAGCACCTGCCCCATTCCGAGCTGAAGTTGAAAACCGGCGGCTCGGAGAAGGAAGGAGCGGAGGGATAGAGGGCAGCCCTTCTTCCCCACCAGAACGAGTTTATCCAGGACGTAGTCAGATGCCGTAGCTCCGCCTCTGTTCCAAAATCCCTGTTGTTATAGGAAGGAAAGGACCTCAGGGGGCCCATCTTCAAGTCAAAGGCTCCCTGGCTACCAATTTCTGGGGCTGTTTAATTAAAATTATCAGAGCAGAGCAGGCCCTCCCAGCATTTTCCCTGCATGATTCTCATTCTTTGGGGGCACCCATGATTTGTTGGTAAATCACTGTTAAGGGTTTGAAAGGGACCTGAACCCTGGTGCCCAGCCCTGACCACTTGTTCAGCTCTGTGTAGGTGCAAAGTCTGACCTCAAAATCTTGGCAACTGCAGCAGCCGGAGGGGTTGGCGCTCTCCAGAGGTCCAGCTTTTTACACATGGACGCTGAGGTGAAGCATGGTAAACTCACTTTATTGATGAGTTAATTGAGCTTCTAAGATGTTAACTTATCCATAGTAACCAACTGGTACAGTTTTTCCTTGAGGAACACGGGGGCTAGGGGTGCCAACCACCCATGCAGTGGAAACCCACCCATAACATCTGCCCCCTGCGTGTGTGCATGCGCAGCCACACATCTGATATGCACAACCATCGGCACAGCCGAAATTAAAGCTCAACTCTGCCTCCCTGTGAAAAGTCCCACCACCCTGGTTGCCTCGTTCCTCCTGAAGGACAATTTCTTTTTCTTCCTAGTGAAGTTCACCCGTGCCCCTCAGGACAGCACATCCTGTCCCTTGGGGCTGGTGGGGTGCGGGGAGCTGTGCGGGGGAGGTTGACATCAGGCTTAGAGCTGTGTGAAGGAGTGCCGTGGAGGCTGGAACCTGCCTGCCTGCTGCCAGACATCAGCCTTGTTTACATCTTAGAGAAAGGTGGAAGGTGCTGCTCTGCAGGGATGCTGCAGCCCGCAGCTCTCCCGCAGAGCCTGCCCCAGAGGAGTCCCCAGAACACCTGCAGCTGCCCTTCCCCCTCCTCATCTTCCAGAAAAGACTGCTGATGCTTCTCCCGCACCGTCCTAACACTCGTCATCCCCCCACCCCCACTTGCACACAAAAGGGTCCAAGAAGGAACAGCACTCCAGTCCAGGGACCCTGCCCGGGGCCCCCACTGCTCACCTTCCCCCACAAAAGCCCACCCGTTCCTAAACATGTCCCCCAGAAGCACAAAGTGTGCCCCACGGTCACAGAGTTCCCCCTGCCTGTACAGCAGCCGAACACAGCACATTAGCCAGAAACTTCCTTGCGTCAACCCCGTGCCAAAGCACGTAATGACAGCCATCGAAGGACAGCCTTGCGCCAGCCAGGCATCCGGTAGAGACTTGGTGCGCAGGCGGGCCGACAGGCACTCGTGCACGCCCCCTGGAGACGTGGGGCGTCCCTAACAACCGGCGCGGACCTTCAGAGAGCCTGCTGAAAGGCGAGCCTGGGGACCAGGAACCGGTGAGGCAACCTCTGGGAGAGAGAACACAACTCCCGGTCTCCCCTGTGGGGCTGAACTCTCCCAGCCCCTCCCCCATTCCTGCCCTCAAGATGCCCTCAACCCACCCAGGCCCAAAGCCTGCAGGCAGCCCCAGCCTTGGCTCCCACTTTTTGAGTGGCGGGGAAGGGCTGGTCTGTAACTTCAGGAGACTCCCCCACCCCCACCCATTTGAGGTGGGACCCCTGCCTCCTCCCCCGCCACTGTCTGCAACCTGGCCTAAGGCTTAGGGTTTGCGGGCAAGGGAAGCGGGGGTACCATGAGAAGGAAGAAGCGGGCAGTGGGCACTGGATAGGTAGCAGATGAGAGCAGTTATACCAGGCCGGTCTTCTCAGAAAGGCTGACCCCCACCCCAGTTCCCGCGGGCTGCGATCCCTCCTGCGGGGCCAGAAGCCAACACACCTCGCTCCCACGGCAGGGCTGGTTTCCCTTGGTTACCTAGGAAAAGCAAGGGCCGCATCCCCCTAGGCAGTTGGGGGAGGGCCTGTCTGACCTTTGGCGCTGAGATTCCCCGCGGGGAGCGGGGAGTCTGAGCCGTGTTGGGAGGGATGAGCGGTAGGGAGTGAAGCCACTGGAGCCCTTTTTAAGGCTACAGGCCTAAGGAGGCAGGAGTGGCAGCAGGGTCAGGCCCAGGGGCATGGGAAGTGCAGTGTTTCACTCACCATGGACCAAGTGGGCTGGGCCTGGGCTCTGTCAGACAAACTTTTTTGCCTCTCTTTTGTGATTCCACTAATTAGATTTTGGGAGTGAGCTGGCCTGAGGCAAGGTGTGATGTAGTGGTGTTTGGTGTGAAAAAGTTAGGGAAATGTAGACAAAAGCCCAGGGCCCTGAGGACAGATGCCTGGGGTGAAAGAGGGGCTGAGTTTTTAAGGCACAGGAAGCACCAGAGAAGGGAGCGGAGCACTGGGGGCCCAGTGGGTGCTGCCTCAGGTGGCCCATCAGAGTGTCAAGGGCACAGAGGTGCTCGTGGGCCTCCAGAGGGCCAGGGGCTTCGGCTTCTCAGTTCAGAGGAAGGCAGGTGAGGACAGCTGAGGACAAGCAGGAAGGGGTGATGGCTTCCTCCAGCATCTTCAACTTTTCCATTTGGGCAGGCGGGAGAAGCCTCTGCCCAAAGTGATTCCATTTAACTGGGGACTTCAGAGGGTGGAGAAGGTCTGAGTCTTCCTCTGTGAGGAGGACATGTGCTAGAGATTCATGCTCTGAATCCTAGGTCTGTGAAGAATGTCGAGGGCAGTGTGAGCTGTGGGGAAGGAGAGCAGAGTTTTGCAGGATTCTTACAGGTCCCCGTGGAGCATTAGGCTGAGGGATACAAGCAACGGTTCAGTTCTGTGGAAAGACCCCGTGCCTGGCAGTGATGTAGGTGTTGAGGGAACCTGGGCTGTTCAGGTCAGCACCAAAAGGGCACCACCACCCTCCACGCTGGTGACAAGACGAGAGAGCTCACCAGACAGTGGGAGGTCCACTGGAAAAATGCTGTGAGCGACCAGTCTGGGGCATTTAGAAAGCAACCCCAACACCTTATTACTGGTTATGATTTTATTCATGAAAATAAGAGAGAGCCTCAGACAGATATCAACTCAAACCTTAACTTCTCCACCTACTCACCGTATGAAGCTTAGCAAGTTACTTAACCTTTCTAAGAGTCCTTTTCCTCATTTGTGAAATGGGGATAATGATGTTATAACAACAATAATAATCCTCAATAATAAATCTGAAAACTTAATAAACTTGGGTAAGCCATCTAACATCTTCATCGTAATATCTAACACATCTTGAGTGCTGGCTGTGAACCCAGCACTCCAAGTATACAAAGGTCTCACACACATTCACTCCTTAATCCTCTGGCTAATCCTATGAAGTTACCATTAAGTACATCCCCATTTATAGAGAAAGAAATGGAGGCTTAGTGAGGTAAAATGACTTGCCCAAGGTCTCTCTGACTCTAGGGGGCAGAGTGGAGATTTGACCTTAGACAGTACAACCCCTGAACCCTTAATCAGCTGCTACATGCTGCCTGCACTGCACATGCTATTATTGAGAGCTTAGAAGCCAACAAATAGTAAGCAACTCTGTATACACAAGGACATGGTTCCCAGAACACTTGTGCCCCAGACGCAAGCCTTCAGAACTAAGGACAACACTGACCAAATGGGGTCATCTCATCACTTACATTACCTGTGCTTGGGCCTGTCGAAAGCAGGCCTTCATACCTAACGCTTTGAGTTATGTCCTGCACGTGGTTACAGGACCCTGGACCCTGGTTGAGGACACAGTGTGGGGACCTGGGAGGAGCAGATGTGGCCTTTCTCCAGGACTATGGCCCTGGGCTGGGTGGGACTGATGCTGGAGGCACAGCCTGTGAAGCCCAGCAGGCCCGTGACACAGGCTCCAGGAGATGAAAGGCCAACGGGCACGTCCCCACTTTCTCCAGCCCTTAGATGAGGAGGCCAGGTGGTGGCACAAGAGGCACTCAGGTCTGTGGCCCCAACCTTCTCTCTGGAATATCAGAGAGAATTCCTGCCCCGGAGGAGGACCAGAGTCTTGACCACACTTCCAGTCTACAAACTCTGAGACTCTCCAACTGCCCTGTGGGTTCTCCAGACAGTAAGGTGACTGCCCTGTCACTTCTGGGGCTATCCTCCATGGGCCCTTGGGGGCTGTCTGGAAGTCCCTTGGCCCTGGCTACTACATGTCTACCCATCCCTGCAGGTTTCCAGGGAGAATAGTGCCACCTACTACCACTCTCAACTGAAC